TTTGAGGGAGCATTTTCACCAATCGACGTTTACAATATTATAATCCCAAAAGACTATTCTGCAAGCTAATGAGAATGATTTCTCCCTAAAGTAGGCTTATAAGTGTTGTCTGAAGCGTACAGAAGTATTAAAATCGATTGATTTTTAATACGATTAAACGAGTTGTAATGACATCCTTATACTATCCGACTGTTTAATATAGGAAAGTGTAAATAAAAAAGGCCAAATGTCATAAACAGATAATGAAACTTTATTTTGTATTATTCAAATAGATCAGCTTTCAAAACAGATGTTAAGTACGGTTTGAGGACAGAAAGACCCAAATTAAGCCTCATATACTCAGGAGTACTCATTGTGTCCAGATAAGATTATCATCAGGAAAACATTGCTTTTCTATCCTAATGTGGATTCTGCAACAGTGGTATTCATACAGGAAACCCATGGTCTTAATCATAGTAGAGCAGTGATGACCACTGACTATTATTTCTCAGGACTCTCGCCGACCATGATGGTCCGGTTCGACCTCTACCGACGCACACTCGATATCTATGGTCGGCCTGCAAAATTTGGGCTACCGATATCCATGCTGAAAATGCCATACTTGTACTGAAAATACGGTGTGGCATCAAGCTGTAATCAAAAATAATAAAAAATAAATATGAGTACCGAAAAATGAGGGCAGAAAGTTTTCGACAGTCAGCTGCAAATGATTCCCACAAGTCTGATTTGCCGCCATATAGATTATTTGGCAAAGTTAAAGTATCATAGACAAAGCTAGAGTCTTTCAAATGTTGACCTTTAAGAACTTGTCAGATACAGGGAGCGCTTTCAAATGTCATTCCAAATAAATCATACCTACCTTTCTGGACTTAAGGAAGGCAGATACAGTATTCCACTTATTCCCTGTGTAGTTTTTCAGTAAATCTATACCGTTAGGTATGGTTATGGCTTTTTACACTAAGGTTTAGGGTTAAACTTAAGGTTAGGGGTTAGGATTATGGTTAAAGTTAGGATAAGGTTAAAGAGGTATCGGAAGTATCAATGAATCTCAAAGTACCATGAGTACAGTCATATGGATGTATGCATCTATCGCACATGGTATTATTTCGCTATAGATCAACTGTGTAGTGATTGAGACACTTACAATATATAAGCGACAACTATATGGTATGAAATCACGCTTGCAATGCTTTTTAGTGTATTTTCCAACGGTTATGGTACATTTTCCATCTGAATTCAGATTAGTTGTTGGTTATTGTAGTTTTGGCTATGATATTTTAACTTTGCCGATCATTCAATGGAAGAAACTGACTTCACTTGGTTGGTGCCGACAGGTAAGAAGCAAAATAAACGAAGGAAAGAAACAGCAACCGAGTCCACCAAAAAGGTCTCGATGGCTGTTAATACCAGCCAAACTCAGAAACCCACGGACTCTAATTACAGTGTTATCATCTGGAATTTGGAGGAATCTAAGAACACAGATCCAACTGCCCGACATGCAGATGATCTGAAGGCGGTTAGCTCCATAATCCGGGAAATACTTCCCGAAAAAACAATTGGAGTTCACGTAAGAAAAGCCATCAGGATCGGAAAACGAAACCCCGATGCTACGGAAACTTCTCGACGACTACTTAAGATAGTTTTAGGGAACGAAACAGAGAAAAGCACCATCCTCAACAACGCATTCAAAATTAACGATAAAAGTTTAAAAATAAGGCCTGATTGGCCTTTAGAAGATAGAATAAAAAGAAGAGAAGCCGTGGCTGAACTAAAGGCCAGGCTAGAGAAAGGTGAAAAAGACCTCAAGATATTGGGTTTTCGGGTGGTGAGGTCTCGGAAACCGATGCTGCCGAGACCTCTCTTCATAAGCCGGATGAACACGTAGGTGTCTCGGTGTGCTATACGAACGCGTGTAGTCTTAGGAATAGGCTCGCCGAATTAGGAGAGTTATCTGAAAGACTACAACCTGATGTGATTGCAATCACTGAGACATGGTTGTTAGTGGGTGTAGACTTAACTCCACTCATACCTGGGTACATCTGCATTCGAACAGATAGAGTAAGTAGTCTGAAAGGTGGCGGGGTTGCTCTGTACATCCGCGATGACATAGGGATTAGGTCAACGTTTTCAGAAGCTCATGACAGCGGCACCAGTGAGGCTGCAAGTTGCGTTATTAATCTGAGAAAAGGCACTTTAACGATCGGAGTTATTTACAGAAGTCCTGCTGGCCAAGCTGATGACTTCGTTCTAAATCACTTGAGGGCGTGGGGTAGTAGAAATAGGTGTCTGGTTGTTGGCGACTTTATTGCTCCACACATTAACTGGGGGGAATTAAACTCCACTAGTTTGTATACCTGTTTCAATAGGGAGTTCACATTGACAGTGCTTGAATGTGCACTCGTGCAACATATGAATGCACCAACACGGTATCACCCGGAACATGATCCATCTACTCTAGACTTGGTATTAACACACCAGAAGGAGGACGTTGGTGACATTAGGTGCCTTCTGCCGCTTGGCAGCAGTGATCACATAGTCATTGCTTTTACGTTTAAGATTCATTCTCTCATACACAGGTCAAAATCTGCTCGTCCAAACATATACAAGGAATCCGGAACGCAGCAACTGCAGTTGACTGGTCAGTAGATACAAGTCGGACTGTCGAGGAAGCTTGGGTAGGATTTAGAAATACACTGGATTGTGTCACTTCACCTTTTATACCTTGGTACACTCCTCGAAAGCTATCGCACAAGCCATTTTGGATTACTAGTGAAATAAGGAGGCTATTAAGACGGCGAAAGAAATTATGGGACCAATTTATTATGAAAGGAAGTGAAAATGTCCAGAAAGACTACAGCAAAATTCGAAATCTCTGTAAGGATGCGATTAACAAGAGTCGTATAGAATATGAGAGACGGCTTGTACTAGATAGTGTTCACTACCCAAAAAGGCTCTTCTCGTATATTAAACTTCGGACTAAAACTAGCAATGGTATACCGTCACTCATAAGCATTAGTGGAGAAACGGCTGAGTCAGACGAAGGAAAGGCTGAAAACCTCTCTGAATACTTCTGTGACATCTTCTCGTCTGATAGTACCACCCAGGGATATGGCGAGGTCACTGCCATCGCCACTCAGATGCCCTCAATTGTGGTAGAGCACACAAAAGTCCTCAAACTACTGTCTAAACTGAAGCCAGGTAAATCACCTGGGCCTGATGGACTTCACCCTAAACTGTTAATTTCCTTGGCGGATATAATATATATTCCGCTTGCGGAGATTTTCCAAATGTCACTGACCCAGGCTAAGCTACCCAGGGACTGGAAGGATGCCATTATAAGCCCTATATTCAAAGAGGGGGACAGGCAATTGGTATCTAACTACAGGCCGGTAAGTCTGACATGCATTATAGCAAAGGTAATGGAAACTATTATAAGGGATCAGCTATTAGCTTATGTTGAAACACATGGCTTACTGGCAGTTGAACAGCATGGATTCCGACCAGGACGATCCTGCTTGACAAACTTACTGTTAGCTAGGGAAGATTGGGTCGAGGCCAGAGATAAAAACCTTCTGTTGGACGTGGTTTTTATTGATCTTAGCAAGGCATTCGACAAAGTATCCCACTTAGGTCTCCTTAGTAAACTTAAAGGTTTCGGACTAGACCAATGCCTATGTGAGTGGTTTAGGGATTACCTAATGGATAGAAGGCAGAAGGTTAGAGTTAACGGTGTACTATCAGGGTGGAAAGCAGTATCCAGTGGAGTGCCTCAGGGAACTGTATTAGGCCCCTTGCTATTCCTATTATATGTTAATGAGCTACCAGGGATTCTTACTTCATCTTCATTGTTATTTGCAGACGACATTAAGATATGGAAAACTGTAAATAATAACGAGGATAGGTCGGCCCTACAAACTGATCTAGACAAATTAGCTGAGTGGTCGAACCTGTGGAGTTTGGAAATGAATTCTAGGAAAAGCGCAGTAATGCACTTAGGTCAGAAGTCTTATACGTCGTACTCCCTAGGGGACACAGAACTACCTGATGTTAACGAACAGAAGGACCTAGGAATCATTGTCAGCAATGATTTGAAAACAACTGCAAATTGCAATGCAGCCGCAGCTAAGGCTTTTCGAATGCTATGGGCACTCCGTAGGGCTTTCAAACGATTAGATGAGGGCATGTTCCAAATACTCTACGCAACATATGTCAGGCCTCATCTAGAATACTGCGTACAAGCGGCGGGTCCATGCTTCAAAAAGGAGGCATATATCCTGGAAAGAGTACAGAGAGTAGGAACGAAATTAGTTAGTGGTATCTCACACCTTCCTTATGATAAGAGGATGGAGCATTTAAATCTCTTTCCGTTATCATACCGAAGGAAGAGAGGCGACTTAATTTTAGCATACCGTATACTTAAGGGTGATTTAGGAACTGACCTTTCTAAACTTTTCTCTCCTTCTAGGATACATTTACGGGGTCACCGCAAAAAGGTGCTCAAACCGAGGACGATTAAAATACGTGCAGAATTTAGATTCTCTCACAGAGTGGTCAACGACTGGAACTCCTTACCTGATTCAGTAGTAACAGCTCCATCGGTGAACGCTTTCAAAGAGAAGTTAGATCTCTGCAGAGATATATTTTGCAAGGATTAACACAGGCCACAAGAGCCTTCTATCCTTATCAACTGAATCTGAATCTGAGTATCACATATAATGATCTCCAGTTCCCCAAGCAAATTTTTAAGCTCAATTTCGGGATGATCTTCGGGCAAATTACTGTAAATTTTTGAAGGAATACATCAAAATATTGGCATTTTCTCTAAAACCTTAAGTTAAATACCGCCTGATTTCTCCAAAATTATTTTAAACCAAAATCGTCGTTAAAACGACTCTCGTAATTAGCCACTAATAACGATAAAGACTGGAAGTTGCACCAAAAATGAAATGGATTCAGTGATATGATATGCATATAAGTGAATTATAGTGCATCTCAATTACCTCTTGGTAATACCCGTAATAACCCGTATCATCCCAAACACGTCTTCGGTCAACACATTCTCGCAGATCACCTACAGTTTGCGAGGATGGAATTCGATAATGGCTATTCCATTTGACAGATGGAGGATGAGAAGGATAATAAGCTGTGATTTTCTTATCTACATATAAATGCGAATTATGACACAAAGTTGATTAAACTAACAATTTGGAATGTCACGCTTTTTAAGAAAGTTCAAAAAGTCTTTCTCAGACTGAAAATCTATAGCATCTCTGCGTGTTAATGTTGGTAGTTCAAAATGTTCACTGTAAGATTCCCAACGTCTTTCTGAAGGTATATACCAGGCGGCTCCACCATAAAGTGAAGTTTTCATGTGTCCATCTCTGTTGTTGTATTCTGGTATTGTTACTCTGGTCCTGTCATCCGTTTTTAAAGTGCTATACGCGTCACGACTAGCAGTCATTTTTCGAGAATCCCCTACTTAAAATAGTGTGAAGGTCAGTTGACCATGACAACCAAATATTGAATATCCTCAACTTCCAATATCGTTTATACGAGCTAGTATAAAGCAATTTGATTTCTTTGTGCTCGTCTCTTGATTGTGAAGTATAGGTTCCTGATCTTCGTTAAGAGGATTGGCCGTTTAGACGCAGCCCTCCTGTGGCTGTATGACTGTTCAACCCTCGTTTAAAATTGTCCACATATAGTGCCGTAGCTACATGTGTCGGTAAGGAGTTCCAGGGACGGCAAGTCCGCAGTGAAAAGAAATTGTAGTGCAGTCAGGTCTATGCCCTTTGGTGAGCTTTCCTTCTGCGATTTCCACGAGGAAGCCCATACCTACTCACTGGCAGAATAACTTTGTTTGGGTGATTCTACTCATGTTATATTATAGGCAGTAATCAAGTCCCCCGTAATCTGAAGGTAGCTAAGTGTAAAGAGGCCTTATTTCTTCAGCCGTTCGTCGTACCGTTTTTTTCGGAGATCCATCACTCTTTTTGTCTCCCGCCTTTTGACTCTTTCCAAAAGGTTTGCGTCTCTTCTAAGCAGTAGGGGTGCAACGATATTATACACTTCAAGGTGTGGTCTGACGTATGCTTTGTGCAACCTTAGAAAGAGCTCAGGGGTGAGTGCACTTAAGTGTCTATATGTAAAGTGTATGACCGCATATACTCTAGCTGCATCCCCTGTGTAATTTGTGCTTGTGTCCATTTTTTCCGTTAGAACTAGACCTAAGTCACGCTCCGTCGTTGTGCAGGAAAAGCTCTCGTTGCACAGGGTGTAACTTGCATTCTGCAGCCTACATGTGTGTAATTTCACTACTTTGCACTTTTTCAGGTTGAAAGTCATACCAGTGGCAACCTCCCAGTCTTCCAGAAGCTTTGGATCTGCCTGCAGCCTGAGTCTTCTGAACACCCCATTGCTCTACATATCTCTACGTAGTCAGCATAAAGAAGAGTTAGGCAGCTTAGACGGCATGGTAGGTCACTATTCAAAATCAGCAACATCTATGGTCCTAGGATGGAGCCCTGCGACACTCCTGATGATGAGCTGCGCCAGGATGATCGGACTCGATGGACCTTAGTGCAAAATTGCCTTTCAGCTAGGTAGTCCTTTAATCATTTTTTTTATTTACAGCTTGATTCCACACCGTATTTTCAGTACAAGTGTGGAATTTTCAGCATGGATATCGGTAGCCCAAATTCAGGCCGACCATAGATATCGGGTGTGCGCCGGCAGGGGATCGAACCCCGGACCATGTGCATGGTCGGCGAGAGTCCTAACCACTGTGCCACCGACGCACATGACAGAAGTGGCTTACCTATACCTACCTGGCTTGTGTATGAGAAGGTCAAATGCCTTTTCAAAGTCTAGGAAGACCACATGGACTGGAACATTCATATCCCACCATGATGTCCAATCGTTCCAAGCTGATAGTAGATTTGTCACACAGGATCTGCTTTTCCTGAAACCATGTTGTGCATCATGGAGTCCATTAGTCCTATCGAGGTGCTCCCCAATGTGATCATCAATTTTACTTTCCAGTGCTTTTGATGCCACTGAGAGTAGCGCCACTGGTCTATAACTAATGATATTTTGCCTGTCCCCATCCTTGAAAATCGGGTAAAAGGTGGCTTTCTCCTGAAATTTATTATTATTAATCGTTTACAGCTTCCCTGAATCCATCGACCGTCCGAACAAGTCGAATAAAAGCCTACAGAGAGCTTCGGCGTACTGTTTCAGAACGGATGGCCTGATGTCGTCACAACCTGGGAACTTTCCAGACGTGAATCTCCATAGCTTCCCTAGTACTATTGCCGAATTTATTTGGAGAGTAGCCACCAGTTTTTCCTCCAGTGAAGTAGTAGTTTCGCCATTTTGGTCCGTACCAGTAATACCCACATAGCTGTGTAACTGTTTGGTGAAGGCTAAACTGAATGTTTTAGCCATCTTCAGACTAGTGAGGTAATGACCGTTTGGACCTACTAAGGTGCTTGTCGCTGGTTGGTTGGTTTTCTCTTTGTTATGAATCGATACAGGCTTTTGGGGTTCACAAGGAGTTTCTGGTAAGATAAGTCTGAAACGAACTCCTGCCACTCCTGACTCTTGTGTCGCACCGGTTCCTAAGTCCCAGGTATATATCCTGGTCAGTCCGACTCTAGGATATTCACCACGTAAACCAAGCCTTTCGTTTTGCTTACAGAATGTATCGCGTACCTCTCTTCCACCATGAGGACCTTTTCTTCGTCTTTGTTGTGATGAAAGGGACGGTATCTAAGATTTCTGTGTGAATAATCTCTTTCACCACTTTCCGGTGTTCATCCACAGATAACTCATCCCATACTCAGGGCCATTCTGCGTCGGACAAGAGCCTCCGCATTTCAGCATTGTCCGCCTTGTTATAGCACAGACATAATCACGTACCGTTCCACTGTAAGTGGTCATGGGGGAAAAAATTGAATCCTGTGACTGCGTGGTGAGGTCATGATCTGGACATTTTCTACAAGTCACTGGTCACTAGTCAGAATGTATTCTAGTTTCGATGACTTTCCACTAAAGCACCACCTAGTGTCGTCTCCAACGTTCTCAGTCAGTTCTGTATTTCTAATGGCCTGCAGTAGATTTCGACCGACTTTTCCCTGAGCATACCCCGAGCCAAAGTTCAGTGGTGAAGCATTGAAATCTCCAGCTGTGTTGATTTGGTCATAGCCCAAGTCCCGTATCCCTGTAACGGTGCTGAGCAGTAGCTGGTTTTGCTCTGCCCCACAGGTGGATGATCAGCAGATGCCAGCCGGTAAATGTTTGGTGTGACCTACAGTGAAATGAAACCACATGAAGTCTGAGAGTTTAGTAAGTGGTGGGTCCTTTGCACGTACGCATTTAAGTAGCCTGCCAAACCATATGGAAACTCCCCTTTCCTTTTTATCCCTGTCTCTGCTGACCAGAACCATATCACTTATACTGATTTCGTTGTCCGCGCTGGTGGGGGTTAGCTAGATTTCAGTAAGGATGATTATTGTAAGGTATAGGTGCGACTAGAGGTTTCCGAGTTCACCTACTTTCCCTCCAGATCCTCTCGCACTGCTATACAGGCAGCTAACCTTGAGCCTCGAAACCTCAGCGTGTTTTAGGGTAAGTTGAAGTTACGTTGTCTGCTGGTAGTGGACTTAGTATTGGGACTAGTTGGCCGATTCCGATGGAACCAGCCTGTTGCCGTTTTTACCTTGAATTCAGGTAGGAAAATTGGGTGACACTCACTGCCATTTTCAGTGCTGCATCGCTGTAGTGTCACTGAGGCTTAGGAACGTATTAAGTCCTTAGTTTGCTGCCTCCTCATGTTTCTGCTTTCGCAGCATCGGATGTGTTTTCCCAATTTACCCTTGGTCTGGTACCATCTTTGGAGTACTAGAGCTAACTGTTGCCGGGAGTTGAATTTTGTATTTATAATAAGATATATATTTATTCCTGTTTATGCAGGAACATACCAATTGTACAGGCATGGATAAGTTATTATATAAATTACACATATTTCGATGTGTGGTGAATTTACAGTTTGTCTGTTCTTTCTGACAGCCTTGAAGAGTTGATCAGTGTGAGATGAGCGGGGTGATGTAGCCAGAAAATTGAGATTGCTCCGGAAGCACCTAGGGCCAACTGAGATGACAGCCATCTCCATTGTTGTACATCGTGCATGTGTTTCTCACAAGAGGTGCAAGTTCCCAGCTCCGGAACACGCTGTGACCACATAGGTAGTAGTCATCAGTTCCGGTAAGTCCCTCACCATTCGCCTGTTAGCCCATGGCGTATCATGTCTCACTTTTATGCTAGAACTCCTGTCTATAGCTAAAACTCGAGCCGGTAACAGTATTCTTTCTTCCTCTTCGGTAGAAGCAAGTGTAATCCTTGATAGAGGTGACCTACCCTGAGGTGCCTGGACTCCACTATAGGGCCTGCGAAATTTTTCTGAACTCGTGTTCAGACCCAATTTATTGGACAAAGTGAACCACTGTTCCCGATCAAACAGGGCCCTTTTTAAAGCAAACTATCATTGCCTTAAACGGGATCAAGGAATTCGATCGACTGACCTCAGACTTACCTTTCGTTTTTTCGGCTGCTTGTCCTCCTTTGTAGGGTCAGGCACTGTAGATTTCATCAGGTTCTGACTAGTCTTTACTATGTTGTCGTCCTTGCTAGCGGATGCAAGTGTTGCTTCGGATATTCCATCTTACCCCGCTGTTCTAGGTGTAACCTTGGGAGTCTTCAGTTAATGAAGACTTAGATTTCCAGTCCGTTGAGCAGGAGTATCCTTATTACGGCTTCCGCCAAGTTTTGTTGGTGTGGTGTTATCCGGTGAAGCGCTGCATGAAACTGTCTCGAAAAAGGCCGGAGCCACGCTGTGTGAGACCGTGTCAGGGTGATAGAGTAAGCAGATGTACCATAACCACGGGCACGGGTTATTTCGCATAAACTCATAATATGTTTTTGGCACCCCTCTGCCACAACGGCAGTGCACTCATCGTTTGCGAAAATTGCATTCAAATGCTGAGTTAGTTTTAGAAATGACAACACCACAGGCCTGGCATTCTTCTTTTGTAGAAGACGCTTTCAAGGTCTTTGACGCCTTGAGCATTTCCTTTTTGTCTTGCTGTGTGTCACACATCGACTTCCAACGGATGCAGGTGTAGTATCATGTCCGCTTGTTTTTACCCGTGCAGTTTCAGTGCTAGACTTTGGCGATGTAGGCATAGTATAAGAACAGGGTACATAGGTCTTCAGAATCGGCAGGCAAAATGGGTTTGATGTCCCTGGGTTATTGCAACCTCTGATTGAAGCCCATGTGGCTACAGAATATGGTGTTTTAGTGTTTTTTAAGGCTAGTTTCAACCACCATTTTACATATACTATAACTGATGCTTATAGGTGAATAGGAGGTAGCAACAGTATCTGCCCAATAGAACAAGAACAAAAAGATTGATAAGGTATAAGATAAAGAA